GGCTGGAAAATACTGCCAACTTGTCACAACATTTATGATGTTACACAGGCACTACAGGGTTGTTATGATGGTGGCACAGGCCGGAAAGGCGACGTGTAATGCCCACAAAGGAGCCTGTCTTTCCTCCTTGTCTTTTGCCTGCGCTCCGACAAGATGTGATGGGACACTCAGCCAGTTACAGGTTGCAGCCACACACAGTGCTGCCAATCACTTGCAGGGGCAGGGAAACACACACAAAACACTGCTGTGTGTTCTGCCTTAAGAAGGTAAAGGTAAAGGGTCCTCTGACCATTAGGTCCAGTCGTGACCGACTCTGGGGTTGCGGCACTCATCTTCCTTTACTGGCCAAGGGAGCTGGCGTACAGCTTCTGGGTCATGTGGCCAGCATGACTAAGCCGCTTCTGGCCAACCAGAGCAGCGCACGGAAACGCCATTTACCTTCCCGCCAGAGTGGTACCTATTTATCTACTTGCACTTTCACGTGCTTTCGAACTGCTAGGTTGGCAGGAGCAGGGACTGAGCAACAGGAGCTCACCCCATCGCGGGGATTCGAACCACCAGCCTCCTGATCAGCAAGTCCTAGGCTCTGTGGTTTGACACTGATCGTGCAAATGCAATGAACGGGCCACAGTGGGTTTTTCTTGTTTATTATTTCAATAGGAAGATATCAGGAAGGCTGAATAGCCTCAAGACAATGAGGGCTGGGATGATAGGCCCCTCAAAACATCTCCCCTCAAAAGCTGCTATTCGCATCTCAAGAGATGCCTTATTGGTGAAAACATTTTGTGACCAGTTAAATCGCTTTAGATAACAGAATAAATCTGCACACGTAATAATGATAATGATGATGATGATGATGATGATAATGATAATTTATTATTTGTACACCACCCATCTGGCTGGGCTTCCCCAGTGATATTGTTGTGGATCCTTTATTGTGCATAGGAATGGAGCTAGACCTTTTTCCTGATATTAACACATATTTATTTATGTTAGAAGCTTTTGTTTTTAGTATTTGAAGACCTCTAAGTTGTGGAATTTCCTCCTCACAGAGGTGTGTGTATGGCACCTTCATTGTATAGTTTTTGTCGTATACTGAAGATCCACCTCTTTGTCCTGGCCTTTGACACTTGACAAGGGGCCTCAACAGCTGGAAGTGGCCAGGGCCTCTCTGGGTCCCTAAGAGGGCCTGAGGATGCCTCTGAGCATATGCTGAGAGACTTGGCATCCCAAAACAAACCTCAGCCCATTGTCGTACAGTCAGTTGTGGATGGCAGTCAGAAAGCCCGCAAGCTTTTAAAGAGGATGTGATCCCCAGCACCACAATAACTAAGTAGGCGAATGGACAGAATTAAAGTATTGCATGAGAGCAGTGCTGAAGGGTGCTGGGAGCCAGTAACACTTCTTCTCCCTTATCCCACATCTTGTGCAAATGGAACAACACACATCTATAGTCTGCCATCCTGTTTAAACAGCTGTTACACACACACACACACACACACAGAGAGAGAGAGAGAGAGAGAGAGAGTTCTTTTCCACTTATTTGGCTATCCAGTTAGGGAATGAAGTTACTCAGGGGGAAAAAGTGACAACGAAAGATTAATTATAACAGAAACCATGCAGTAAGAATGGGAGAGTTGTGTGGCACTGCTGGAATTTGATATGAAAGAAGACTTATCAGAGGTTTTTTCACAGACTGACTTTTCCTTTCCAAGGTTTCCTTTTAAGATCAGAGTCAATGCCTCTTCAAAGGAAGATCGCAAACAAATCAGAGCTCTCCATGAGACTCATCATAGACTATTTCCCCCTTTATCAGTTCAAACACTCTCATACCAGACAATGCCAATGCTAGAAGAATAATGAGGGGGTGGGGGTCATGCATTTGATTCACATCTTACACATAAATTGTAGGCTTCAGAACAGGTGGTATCATGTTACCTAAATGAGTCTGATGGCAGCCATCTTGGCTCTTAGCTGGATTCAATCCAACACGGATTTCTACAGCATGAGCTCAAAAGCCCAGATTCACATTTTCAAAGGACAATTGAATTGCAATTCATTGTTGTGGATATAAGCCCTTCCTATTCCTATCAGCTTTCAGCTGGCTAAGTCCTTTTTTCACCCATTTGCTCCAAAGCAAGAGGGCATTTGGGTTGTCATTTCTGAGTTTCAGGTCAAGGGCCACCATCAAAGGGCCGCTCACATTTGGGCGATGATTCCATGCATGAACCACAGGTTTTGCATTATTGTCTTCTGCCTAATAGCTCTTTCCAGTACATCAAAGGCAACACATGAAGTTCTCCTAACCTATCAGATAGTAATGTGTGTCGTTGAAAGGAGCATATAATTCATATACAGTCAGAATGCAAGGCAGATGTATTTAATATACGTTAGCGATGCTGTTTTGTTTTACTTATTTACTTGTTTTTATCCTGTATTTTATTCTGTGAAACACCCTGAGTTATGATGATGAAGGGTAGTATATAAACCCAATTAACAACAACAACAACAACAACAACAATCAGTAGGCTATAATTAACCACCAGCCTTGTATCCTGTGTTGCTCAAGAATTCTAAGAAACCAACAAATCAGAGCAGTTTTGAAAGCTTTAGTTAAAATCAATGTGTTCTTGAGAGGTTCGGTCCATCATCTTGATTCAAAATGGCGTCAGATCATACGCAAGCATAGGTGAAAACCTGCTCCTTGATCTCAGGAACCATTGTGCAGAATTTGCTTAAAGTCAGGGCAGTTTGGAAAAGTTCAAACTGGCTTCCAATTGTATCCAAACACACATGAAAGCCTGCTCCTTGATCTCAGGAGCTATCATGCCAAATTTGGTAACAATAACTTAAGAGGTGTTCAAATGCATCACGAACAAACAAAACCTTTCCAAAATCTATACTACCGCATTGGAAGGCCGCCAAAAGTTCATGTTTATTGGTCTAGACAGATACAGTGCCATGAAAAAGTGACAGGAGCCATGAACAGAACAACTGTGTAGGATTGCTGGAAATTTGGTTCTATATAATGAGGCTAGACATTGTGATGGCCTGGGACTCAGGCTCAGACACGGAACCAGAGGAGACTCAGTCTGCACCGGCTCCTTTGCCTCAGGCATCATCTGAACCAAGTCTGGGGCTTGATCCTGAAGAGTCCCAGTCTGCACAGGTTCCCCTGCAACAAGCACCAGCTGGACTGAGTCAGGGGCCTGAGCCTGCCCTGGCTCCAGATGCGGGGATTACCTCATTGCCTTCAGCTGGGTCATCACTTACAGCTGCTCCACTACCGGTTTGGTCAGGGGAGGCTGAGGCAGCCTCTGGGTCTAGTAAACCCACCGACGTCTCCCGAGCTGCAGAGACTAAGGTCTGAGAGAAGGAGAGACCTGAGTACTCGCAGGAGGAGTGCTCGCCTTTGGGAGAAACAGGGAGGTGAGTCACCGGGGGATCAGGACCGGCCACTACACCAACAAAGATAAAAGGCTATCGGACCGTGCCCCAGGTTGTGGGATCAACATTGCTGTATGCTAGATCCTGCCTGAGATCCTGTACCTGTCCTTGCCTGGTTTCCTGCCTCATGTCCTGCCTTGGCCCTGTCAGACTGACTCCTAGAGGAATCTTCGGATTCAGGACCAGTCCTGGACTGCATTTAACGGGTTACCCCTGGGCCCAGCACAAACATAAACAAATATCAATTCAATGAACATTTACAAAAATGGGATCTTAGAAGAAAAACAAAGTAAAATGGACCCAATGTACAATAGAGCATGGTTTTTCTGCACTCAGCCTTAAATGGGTTCCACTGATATTCCCTCACTGGGGACTGTGAATCTGAGTGTGTATGAGGGCAGAGAATTGTCTGAATCTCCAATAGAATTCTCAGCATCCTCACCAAACAACAACTCGAAGGGTACTTTGCACTAAAAGCCATGGCTGTGGAACTAGTATTAAACCAATGCACATTTGTAGGGTAGATGGACCCCATGGGAATGTGAAGGAAACAAAAATAAAAAGATTTCATTGTGCATTCTTTCTTGGTAATGTGTGCACACTGCCCCGCTTTTTTTTGGGGGGGGGGAGCTGATCTTCAGAAAAGTAAAGTTCCTTGGTGGGTGAGTCTCAGGGGGCACAGTGGCAAGCGATCAAGAATGTCATTGCTTCAAAAGCCACCATGACAGAGTCTGAAACAAACGCCAGGCTGCTTAAAGAGAAGTCAAACAGCCCTTCTGTTTCAGTGACATGTCCGAAATTGCATTCTTTATCTACTGGATAATCAAACAAACTTAATTATACTGTCCCCTTCTAACTCATTTGCTTTCCAGTCCTGGGTGGGAAGTACATGGGCTGGATATTAAACGTGGGGAGAGCTCTGCTGAATGTGCAGGGCGGGTTGGGGAAGAAAGATGTTTCTAGCTATAGTGCTGAAACACAATCTCCCAAACAGTATACGGCAGCCTTACATTTTGGAGGTCATGCGCCAAAATCTAGTGCATCATTCTGCTAGCAGCTACTTCCTGTCAGCAGCTGATAACACACCCATTGATTTTATTTCCTCGGTAATAATACTTTACTTATAGGAGGATGCTAATTTTTGCAGAACACAGCTCTTCGGAGTCCCACTAGTAGGAAAGTGCTGATTAGCTGTTTGTAGTTTTGCTAGGACACATTTAGAGGCAGGTGCATTTCTAATATTGATGAATACAGATCGATGATTTTCCCCTGTTTTACTTTTCAGCTTCTTTCCTTGCAGCTAGAGAGGGGGAACACACCAAAAGGGGTTCAGCTTTCACACCACCTGTCTTTCGTTCCATTAACTCTGAGCTTAAGTACATTCTCTCTCTCTCTCTCTCTCTGTATATATATTCTTTTGAATTGAAAAGGAGAGCATAATAGAAACCAGGGCTTTGGGCAGGAATCTACGAGCATCCAGCCAGGACTATGTGAAACAATTAAGATGAAGAAGAAGATGAAAAAGACTGAATCCAATTCAGACATTTGGCATTCATGTAGCTTGGATGGTTGGTTAGAGCATGGTGCTGATAACGCCAAGCTTGCAGGTTCGACAGCTGCATATTCATTCCTGCACTGCAGGGGGTTGGACTAGATGATCCTCAGGGTCCCTTCCAGCTCTACAATTCTTTGATTCTATGGGCACTTAATGCACGAAGGAGCTAGTGAGAATAGGCAGGCTGGTCCCATCCCACAGATGCCAATGGACACTCCAGTTATGCTTCTCTGGGTGATACATCCCAGGCGTATGTGCACATGCAGCTGGATGTACAAGCATAGGAATTCCTCCACAGGGATGGGTACCTTGATCAATCAGGGTTCCCATTTGTGTGGAGGGAGACCCTTGCATGTGCTTTTGGCCTCCTTCAAACTGAAGTTGAACACACATTGGCTGGGAGGAATGTCTAGCAGATGGGATGCTCCCTCCCCCCTTAATTCTCACTGGCTCCTTCACAGATGGGTATGAACCCCCTGCACAGAGCCTGAGTAACAACAGTGCATCCCCATTCACTTAGAGAGCGGGGCTTGCAGTGTGACCTCCAGGCTAGTCTGAAGACCAGGGCAAAAATCAGCACCTTGGTCAGCTCCTGGGACCTCCACAAAGCCCTTGCCATGGCATTACCCTGCAGCATTTTGGAAGCTGATGCTCACTGCAAGGTGAAAACTGAGATGGCAAGAACCACTTGCAAGCGATTTTGATGTGAGCCAAGGAGAGACCATTCGACAAGATACGTTTTTTTGATAATTATTAATTGCTACCTAAAGGTCGTTGGTGTGCAACGAGGGGATTGTGGAGAGTAATAAGAGCAAAATAAAGCGATCTTTTCAAGGCATCTGTTCCACCTCCCCTCCACCCCTCAATTTTATCAAGCTTTAAGCTGTTGTAATCCTCTGAGGTCCTCATTTGCAGTGCATGAAACCAGGTCATGTGTGTGTGTGTGGAAGATGAAAGAACGTTTACTGTCCGCTCATGGTGAGCAAATCGAAATATGGTGACCTTGTTGCCTTATTGATCCATGTGATGCAGGAGGCCAAAGCAAGTTTAAGAGGTTTAATGTGCTCAGAATAACATTTTCCCAGCTGCCTACCTGATCAATGGGAATGAGCCACTTCTTGAACAGTTTAGTTCAGAAAAGTAATGTGGAATCATAGACTTACATTTTAGCAGGTGTCTGTGGCAGTTTCTCAAGTTATAAATCCTCTTTGAAGCATCCCTCTTTGCTGAAGCATTTGACCTAACCTTAGAGCCCTCAAGCCCAAGTGAAACAAAACCTTTAAGCACATGACTTGGATGAAGGCATTGAGGGGGACGCTCACAAAATTTGCAGATGATACCAAATTGGGAGGGTTAGCTATTGCCTCAAATGACAAAAATCAGGATTCCAGATGACTTTAACTTATTGGAGAACTGGGCCCAAAGTAACAAAATGAATTTCAATAGGGACAAATGTCAGGTTCTGCACTTAGGCAGGAAGAACTCGCTGCACAAATATAAGATGGGGGACACCTGGCTTGCCAGTAAAAGGATCTAGGGGTCTTAGTAGACCACAAGCTTAACATGAGTCAACAGTGTGATGAAGCAGCAAAAAAGGTGAATGCTCTTCTAGGCTGCATCAACAGAAGTATAGTGTCCTGATCAAGTCATAGTCCAGTTCTCTTCTGCCTTGGCCAGGCCCCACCTGGAAAGCTGTGTCCACTTCTGGGTGCTTAACTTTCACAGCATTGTGCATTATACTGTCCTGTTTTGTTTTTCAAATTTGTTTTGTTTTTAAAATAATTTTATTGTTTATTTAACATAATTGTTACAAAATATAAGCAAAATACTGCAAATACATATATATTTCAAATAAGCACATATATATGAAGAAAGGAACAAAAGAGAAAAAAAGAAGAAAAGAAAAAAGAAGAAAAAGTAAAGAGAAAAAAAGAAGAAAATTCGCTTACATTGCACTTCCTATATACATTTTAAGCAAGATTGTATCTGTTATTCCATATTTTCCCCATACAATCTCACACAAATATTCTAATCAATAAGTTTTCTAAATGTCTCATAAATCTATTCTAAACATAACCAGTACCTTGCATTTAATCCTTGTCTACATAAATAATCATTTAAGCATTTCCATTGTTTTTCAAATTTGAACTTACAAAGCATTCATTATAAGCAAAGTTATTCCCTGCAAGAAAGAACTGCTTTTTTCTCAGTCACAATGGATTTAAATATTATGCATCTTCCAAGCATGGGACTTTGGGTGTAGTTATGAGAGCTAAGAATGTTGTGACAGCACATTGAGCTTCCTTTGGAACGAAGGGTAGCATTTACTGCTCTTTTGGTTTGTTTATTTGCTTGTTTTTAAATGTAGCATAAGGACTAACTGAACTGCAGAAGTGCCTAGAGTTGGTAATCAACGAGAAGCTGCATATTCAAGGTTAAAGGTAAAGGTAAAGGGACCCCTGACCGTTAGGTCCAGTCGTGGACGACTCTGGGGTTGCAGCGTTTATCTTGCTTTACTGGCTGAGGGAGCTGGTATACAGCTTCCGGGTCATGTGGCCAGCATGATTAAGCTGCTTCTGGCGAAACCAGAGCAGCGCATGGAAACACCGTTTACCTTCCCGCTGGAGTGGTACCTATTTATCTACTTGCACTTTGACGTGCTTTTGAACTGCTAGGTTGGCAGGAGCAAGGACTGAGCAATGGGAGCTCACCCCGTTGCGGGGATTCAAACCACTGACCTTCTGATCGGCAAGCCCTAGGCTCTGTGGTTTAACCGATAGCACCACCCACATCCCATATTCAAGGTTACAATATGCTAAATTTTTGTACAGCTGGCTGGGAGCAGCACATGATGTAGGTGGTGGTGGCAGCTGCCTGACCAGGTTGCCACCAAATTTTGCCTAGTGTGAAAATCCGAGGTGAATTTGGAAGCTTACGGACTGGTGTTGAGTCTCATTTCGATATGGGCAACAGAACAGTGTCTGCCACCACACCAAGGGCAGCAAGCTATCTTAGGGGCTCCAGGGCAGGCTGTGTGCAACACACTGCTCGGCTCACCAATAGCTCACCACTACTGCCTGTTCCCCAGTAACTGCTGCCTAAGGTAGCTGCCTGATTCTGCCTAATGGTAGGGCTGGCACTGGATTTTGGTAAGAAACCTAAGTGAAGCAAGCAGAGTTTCAATAACTCTGAAATCAATTTTTGGAAGAGTGGACGCATTCCGTATGTCTGTATCTGGAAAGTTCAGGTAAGATGTAAGGCATGAGGAAAATATATCAGGAAGTGGCAGGGATGCACTATCCCATGCTGATGCACATAGTGGCCACATTTTGTTATTATCATTTATTAGATTTCTTGTCTCTGGTGTCCTTTGCTCTGTGAAGCCAGAACTGCTAAAGACAACCTCCATGCAGTTAGCCAAGTTGGTAGGATTCTAGTCTTAAGAATCAAAAGTTTGATCTTTTGAGATGAATACAAACCAGAGGCCCCTGCTTAGGAGAAATGACTTCAGGAACTGGAAGGGAACCCCAAAGAGTTTGATAACTATATCACGGGGGATCCACACATCTCTAGCTGGGACTGAAAAATGGAGTGATCTTTGGAATGGCTCAGACTGCCCAGGAGTCTGTGAACCAGGTGCTACGTGGACAGAAAGATCTGGCTGGTTTTAACAGCTACTGGCTCTGATAATTGCTACAACCAGCCAAGAAGTCTATTCCCAGAGTGATATGTGCAATTCAGCTGTGACTTCCGTGAGGCCTGAGCAGTGCTGAGGAAAATAGGCAAGTGAAGGCAGTGGCGCTGTTGAGGAAACTTGAACAAGGCTCTCCTATGTGGCTTCAGACATTTGTTTGTTTGTTTTTTTACCACCAAGCAGCATATAAAGCTGTATGAAATGTATTTACTGACTGTCAGAAGTCAGTAGCTGCTACAGCCAGCCAGAGGCTTCCACACATGCTGGGCCTAGTTGACAGACTCCTGCACGAATCAGCCCACAAGACAAGGATTAGTTGACATGAAAGTTAGGAAACTTCTCTTTGAACAGGAGCCCTGATGGTGCAAGGTTCTTGATCACGGAGAGGATCCTAACCAAGTCCAGCCGAATGCATACCCTCCAACATTTTTCCAATGAAAATAGGGACATCCTATTCAACAACAACAACAATTTTAATATCTATACCCCACCCACCTGACTGGGTTGCCCCAGCCACTATGGGCAGCTTCCAACATATATAAAAACATAATAAAACATTAACATTTTTTAAAACTTCCCTGCGTTCAGATGTCTTCTAAAGGTTGTTGTTTCTTATCTCCTTGGTTTGGGGTGCTCCATACAATCCAACATTTCTCTGATGAAAATAGGGATGTCCTAAGGAAAAGCAGGACATTCTGGGATCAAATCAGAAAGCAGGACAGCCTCTGTAAATCTGGGACTGTCCCTGGAAGATAGGGACACTTGGAGGGTCTGGGAATGCAGCTAGAATCCTCCATCAGATCTCCACACTCAACGCATGAAGGTTAGGAGAGGAGGAAGGGCTTTAGCCCAACTGCGTTCAATATGTCTTACTTCCCTATGCTATTTTTGTCTATTCAGAAGTATGCTACAGTAAGCTGGACAGGACCCATTCCCTGTTTTTGCAGACATTGGTATATTTCCCAATTGCTGCCAGTACTGAACTCTAGAACCTAATGACTATTAATTTAATCTAAATTTGCATTTAATATTCTGTAAAAAAAATAGTGTTCTACTTCAACAGTGAACTTATTATCGTCCTTTCACTAGAAAAGTACAAAAAAGCCCTAATTAAACTACAGTTCAGTAATCGCTCTTCCATCTGAACTGTCTTAGTGTTCTAATTATGCAATAGTCACACTAGAATGATCAGTACAGATTTGTGGCCGTAGCTGTAAAAAAGTTGGTGAAAACCCCCATTAAGTCTGGGCCAAAGAGCACAGGGAAGGGTTGTGGTCTGTAGGCTTTCCTTCAACCATTTGAGATGTGTCATTATGTAGAGATAGAGCTTCTCCATTGTGTTCACGTGATAACATTTACTGACAACTGATCTAGAATTGCTGTTTCTAATTAAG